TACTTCTCTTGTACGAAACCGTGCGATTGTGACTTTTCTTCTCTCAATATATTTATCTACATTCACATATAATGTACATTAAGATAGTAAAAATAAATTAATAAATGATCAAATCTTATACAAATTTTTAATCATGTCTTAAAATTGAAAATGCCTTACCCGCTCTTTGAACCACTTGGGAAACTCTTGTTGTTGTATACGGGTTATGCCTTGGTCAGATGGAGTCCGTAATAGATTTTTGTGTATCCTACTCAAAGGAATGTGATTATTATGCACTGCTAACTACATTAACAAAGCTAAGAATACACATATTTAAATGAAAAACATACTCTAGATACTTCTCTATCTCGGGGCTATTGTTCAACAAGAACCAATGAGCCATATCACGATATTCTTGTGACATATCAGCATCCCTTGTGATTAGGCCAATAGGACGGGCAGTTTCTGTGAATACAGTTAACCCTTTGTGACGTTCGCCACGATCTTGATTTTGTTCGGGTCGATTATGCACTGTTTCGATCCCATCAACATACATTGAACAAAAAGTAATGCACTCTTTGACAATGTAAGCCTCTGCGATTGAACCTTTTGGTCGAGCTCGGTTTGTAACAAACTTTTTTAAAGCTCCGAGAAACCTTGAAAAGAGAATTAGTTAAGAGCAAGGTTACACATGCAACATATAATTACGAATCTTTCAATTTAACAATTACCTTTCAATCCGGTACATCCATCGATATTGCACCGGTCCTCCAAGAGTAGCCTCACGTGGCAAGTGAACGGCCAAGTGAACCATCACATCAAAGAAGGCTGGAGGAAAGATCTTTTCAAGCTTGCATAATATGTGTACTATACGTTCCTCTAATTTCTCAAGTTCATTACGGCGCAGTGTCCTTGAGCACAAATCCTGGAAAAAGCTACCTAACTCAAATAGTGTTTTACTAATCTCTTTGTCCACGTAACCACGCATCCCAATTGGAAGAATCCGTTGTATGAGTACATGGCAGTCATGACTTTTCAAGCCTGTTAATTTACCATTTCTCGCATTCACTGATCTTGATATGTTTGCAGCATAGCCATCCGGATACTTCACTGATTTCAAGAATTCAAAGAAACCCTCCCTCTCTTCAGGGGTCAATGAAAAGATTGCCCTAGGTTTGACATAAGTTCCATCAGGACGACGTGTTAACCACAACTCTTTCCTTATAGCCATATCTTCCAAGTCCATCCGTGCTTTGTCGGTGTCTTTGTTCTTTCCATCAATGCCTAACATAGTTCCAAAGGTATTTTCACTAAAATTCTTCTCGACGTGCATAACATCAATGTTGTGTCGAAGCTTCCGTTTCTTCCAGTATGGTAACTCATACAAGATGCTTACCTTTGTCCAATTTGGTGCCTGACGGAGTCTTTTCTTATTTCTTGGATGCTTCCCATATGTGACACCTGTTACTCTATCCAATTGCTCTAATATATTTTCCACTGGTAACTTTAAAGATCTCTTTCGCTTCTCATGCTTACCATTGTAAGCCTTACTCTTTCGCCTTTCGGGGTGGTTTTGAGGCAAGTAGCATCGATGGTTAGTGTATGCAGTCTTACCTTTCAAGGATTGAAAATATGGTTCATCATTGCAAGTGTAGCAAGAATAATGACCCTTTGTTCTCCACCCAGATATGTCACCAAATGCGGGCCAATCGTGTATAGTCCACATCAAAGCTGCACGCATCTGGAAAGACTCACCAGTTACGGCATCGTAAGATAATGCACCATTTTCCCACAACTCATTCAACTCATCCACCAGAGGTCTCATGTAGACATCAATATCGATCCCTGGTTGTGATTCTCCAGGAATAAGTAGTGACATCATAAGAAAGGGATCTTTCATAACCAACCAAGGTAGCAAGTTATAAGGAATGAGTACTACAGGCCATAAACTATACGAGTTGCTCATGTTCCCGAAAGGATTGAACCCATCAACAGCCAACCCTAGCCTCACATTTCGAGGCTCCAGGGCAAACTGAGGATGTTGCACATCAAATTCCTTCCATTCATCACTATCAGCAGGATGTCTCAATACTCCGTCATCTATACGTTTCTCCTTGTGCCATCTCATGTCCTCAGCAGTCTTTCTTGACATGTACAATCTTTTCAACCTTGGTGTTAATGGGAAGTACCGTAACACCTTATGGGGAATCTCCTTACCCCTGCCACGATTGATCTTGTATCTGGATGCCTTACATTTTGGACATTTATCTAACCTTGCATTTTCCTTCCAAAATAGTACACAATCATTTATACAAGCATCAATTAACTCATATGACAAGCCCAAATCACGAAGTATTTTCTTAGCTTCATAAAATGACTTTGGAACCAAATTATCTTTTGGTAAAAGTTTTGTTAAAAACTCCAATAGTATGTTAACCGACTTATTGCTCCAGTGGTTTGTTACCTTCATATTAAGCAGCTCAATGACAAACTTCAACAGAGTGTAGTTTGTGCAACCTAAGTACACCTCACGTTTGGCATCATTCAATAGTTTATCAAACGTTTGTACTTCCTCATTTTGGGGTGCATCATTGGGTTCTCCTCTTATTCGATCTTCCACTAAGG